CAGGATAGGTGTTGAAGAGATGAGGAAGGCGAAGGCCCTTTTTCACCTGCCTAAGAAGAGTGCATGATTTATGCTCCTATCATCTCCTATCCACAAAACTACAACAAGCACAGCTAGCCTTCACACAAACAGCACAACTATCACATCGTCACGTGTTGCCCATTCCTCTTCGTTTCGACCACGCAAACACAGGTACTAAAGCATCTTCAAGAAATAAGTCCATTTGGCTCAAAACAATTCTTTGAGTTGTTCCCCACCTCAGAACTCGTTCCCCACCTCAGAACTCGTTCCCCACCTCAGAACTCGTTCCCCACCTCAGAACTCGTTCCCCACCTCAGAACTCCCCTTTTCGGAGTCAGTGCTGCGATCTTTGGACTGCCGACGGCGGGACCGGGTCCCCATCGCCCACAGGTGTCGCCCAAGTTCGTTGAAGCGGTCGCCGAGTGGGAGGCTGCGGTTTTACTTGCGTGGTTTCGCCGGGGTTTTGGATTTTGCATCAAACTGGATGAATTCCCAACGCCTGGGGAAGATGCTTTTGTAGGCCCCAAATGGAGTTTCAACCCCCACTCTTCAGTGTCTCCCCGCTTGCTTGCGCTTTTAGAGCTGTTTGGGTCGGTGGGGTCTATGCCGCCTATGCCGGTGTAGTTCAGTTTGAACAGTTTGTCGCGGCTTCCTGGCCTCCTTCTTGAGCAAATCCACGTTGGGCGGGTATAGTCCTGGACCTGCAAGTGCCTGGAGTGGGACGGTGGGACGGAAAAGACTCATATTTTTGACGCTCGCAGTTTGAGAGTGTCTTCTATTATACTACTGAGATCCCCCTTATAGAGGTTAAGGGGTTTGCAAAGAAAGAAACATCGGCATGTACTTAGCCAGGCTTTAAAGTCAAGTCACGACGATTTGGTCGTGCTTCACCACGACCCTGCGGACCCCTACGGACCCGGACCCCGTCTCGTCTGAAGTGCTTTACCACCCCAAACCAGGGGCCCAAGTAGGAGAAGACGGGGTGAATAGTGAAATAGAGAATGAGAATAGTAGGAGAAAGTCGTGAAGATCTTGGGGCCAAGTAGGAGATGAACATGAAAGATGATCCATTTCAAAGTGAGAAACTCCTCTTTGAATGTAGTAGTTGAAGCTTCCCCCAAACCAGACTCTCATGAATTCATATCAGGTCCACGGCCGAGAGAAATGGTCCCAACCCACGTGTGGTTGGAAAATGGGTCTTCGGCATGGAAGAGGAACTGGAAAATGGATGAACATGGGAGGATCCAGCACGCGGGAGGCAGCACTTGATTGCTCTTGCTTTGTATGTTCCATCTTTCACAGAGTAGAAGGTCAGTGGAAAGTTGGCCCAAGAAAGGGGCACTTTGGCACAAGACATCACAAGACTTATGGCTATTGGCCTTTGGGCGACTCCAGTATGCACAACATGCAAGTGAACTGTGGCGACTCCTTTTGGCGTTGTTTCTTGATTTGCTTGGGCCATCAACATCATTCTCACCTTTGCAGGCGGCTGTCTCGCAGGGTGGGTCGGCATCTCAAACCTTAAAGCACCGGCTTTGGTGCTTTGGTGTGTGTGGGCCCATTCCAGGAAAGCGTGGACCACCTGCAAGTCACAGTTTCACAAGAACAGGGGGACGGTTCGGTTAATCTATGCTCACCGACGGGGGTCAGGCCCCTGATGTTCCACCAAAAACTGAGGGGGTCAGGCCCAGTTGGTACTGTAGTGATTGGCCCAATTTTTCAACCCTGTGGCCAGTTTAGGTCTATTCTCTTCGGGTGAGTGATGAGGTCCAACGTCCCGGGGCTCCCGAATAGCAATACACACCACAGTGAATAGGAGAAGATTGTTGGACAAGAGTCATCCGGAAGCTTGTTAACAGTCTTGAGTGAGCGATGAGCTTGCCATCAAGAGTAATCCGGAAGATTGAGGTCAACAGCAATTGACGAAGGTGGTTAACATATAGCAATACACACTCAGAACCATGGTTGCACAGGCGCCTCAACGGCGGTTCTTTGCGTTAGTCCTCTTCAATGCCAATCACATATTGAATATTTATCGATTTGAGAAACATTCCGAACAGTTCTTCAATCTACAGACGACTGAGGTTCAAAGCTACCTGAATATCTAGGTCCTGCTTCTTTGGGGCTCTGTGCTGACCCCCAAAAAAAAAACCGAGCCGGAAGGGGCCACAGCACAAAGACCGTAGAGTGACCAAAGTGCTGGTGTTCATTCTGCACCACTAGACATTGACCAAAGCGCAGCTTCGACTGTGTGTAATTCTCATGAGACAACACATTTCTGGGTCTGCGAGTAACTGGATCATGCTATCCAGCTCGGATGCTCTCAGCTTTTTCTTGAGCAATGTGTCATTACCCCCAAGGATGTGAAGTAGGACATATTCCGTCACGTTCCAATCTTCACGCAGGAAGGACCATCCTTGGAATCTGTACACAGTGTCTCCTAGTCCTCCGGCCACCCCACCAGCCGCCGCAACCCCCACCCGAGGCCGCCGACCGCACCGCGCACGTCGGCAGCAACGGCTTTGTTGGAGACAGGTGAGCCGCGAGCGACGGGGGAGCGATACCTGGAGTCCACGGCCGATTCCCACGGAGTTGTAGGCGCTTCAGATTGAAGTCTTTTTTGAGCTACCCACCGAGAGAGGAAGATCAATCATTCATTCGGTCAATCTAAATTTGGTAAACCTCTTATTGTATGTGATCAACAACCTTTCGATTCGTTCTCTAGATGTGAACTGACAAGGCAGTGAACATGTTGACACCCCACAGCGCTGGGTGTCATCAAGTATCATCAAGTGTTTCATTCAGTGGTGATCAAAAAACATGCGACATAATGACATAATCGGTGGACAGCTTCATCCTTGTTCATCCTACATCAGCTTGTCCTCCCCAGGGTTCGTCCACTCTTCTGTCCTCCCCAGGGTGTTCATCGAAGTACATCTCCGGAACTTGTTGAAGAGAGATCCACTCGACCGTGCCCCAACAAGACCCCAAACAGCCAGGGCTCCCGGTTTGGGGTGGCGGATGAACACTGAACGGAACTGCCACAAGTCACCTACAAAACCCATTAGACTCAGACGCTGCATTGGAGGCCTTGGTATTTTATCAATTTGCATGAAAAAGTCACTGATCCGTCGCTTTGCTGCACACACCCACCTCGAAAACGGGTCCGGCTGCGAATCCTCTGGCGCTGCGGCGAGCTCTCCTCCGAACCGATCCTCAATCCTCCGAGCTCGGTGCAGGTTACCCGCCAGACCATGAGGACCTGCACCGGACCGGGCGAGGCGTCGGACGGGGTGAGCCGAGGCATCGTGGATGGACGCACACCCGGGCACAGACACATATAAGACGTTGAGACTGACTAGTATATAAGACTATCGTCATAGATAGCATACCGTATACTATATATATAAGACTATAGTATACTAGCTATAGTATATATATGTAATATAAGATAATCGTTAGATATATTTATGAATGAAGGCCCGATCAGGCCAGGGTGAGTGATTGGGTCTCATCGCTCGTCTGAGAGGTCCGGTCGTAGATGGAGACGGTGCAAACGGCTCGGTGCCACTGGCTGTGGGGTTCCGAAGACTTCGAACGTACTTCGTTCCTTCCTTTTTGGCCATAGTATGTCATAGTCTTCAGCTCAAATGGTGAAGTTTTTGTTACTTGGGCCAGGTGCGACGGTCTCCGTTTCTTTTTTTGTTGCCATTCGACATGACTATCCCCATCCACAGGAGCTGCAACCGGTTCTTCACCCATTCACCTGGTGTGCATGCGTGTGGGAGACATTCCAGCCCAACAGGCCTAAAAACTGACAGAGGAAATGGTAGAGGAACCTTTTCTCCCCACCTCGCTATACATATATATATATACAATACACCTTTTTCTGAGTTGTTTGCAGCCAGCCCGGCAGCAAGAACGACCTCATGTCTAGAGCCAAATTGTTGTTACCGCAGTGTGATGGCATGGGATGTTGACAGAGACCAACCACAACGGTGTTCTACTTTGCGTCCGTCTATATTTGGAACCCCTCTGGAAAGAAGGGGTATGTCGTCCAGATGCTTTCATGCTGGCCCTCATTCACTGACATGAGTGAGTTGCAGCAATTACTTTGTGGCCTGCAGGTGATGTAGCTCTTCCACTCCATAGGTCGTGGGATGCCCATGGGATGCCAATGGGATGGACCTCCCTGTAAGATGCTGTAAAACTTCTGGAGCTCCCGGCTCCCAACCCGAATGCTTTTGCATTTTGTCTTCGGAAAGAGTGAGGACGACTTGGAGACGGAGGACTCAGTGCCTGAGACCTGTGTGGCGACGGAGCTGGATGAAGATTCGTGCTGTCCTTAGCTAGGAGGATTGGAATCAGGAACAAGAGGGGGACAGCACAGGAAGCAAGTGGGAGAAAGGAGGACATCACTAAAAGCTGTAGGGCGTGTTTTGGATCTGATTGTGTAAGCCATGTCATCATGTATACCCATTGCTTACTCATCAAAATTACCATTGTCCAAGGGAAAAGTTCATGTTGTCCAAACATTTTTGTGTCATACCCTTGGACAAGCCGGCGACGGAACAATCATTAAGCTATAAAATATAGTTATACAACGTCTATCACCCAGCACCACCCAGTTCGGGTGGTTTATAGACCCACTGAAGAGGTATTTTCCATCCCACCACCCAGTGGTGCTGGACATGAATAATTATCACGTGTGGCTTTTTTTGGGCATCAAAAGCCATCACTGAATTCACTCACCTTCCTCTTCAACTGATCCGGAGTCCGATTAACCCGGCGCGTCGGTGACGCCCGCGTTTTTGGTTGCGAAAGCCTGGCTCTGGGCTCAAGTGAGAAAGATGCGACTGGAGTTGGACACATGGAGAAGTTGATGCTTGACAAAAAGGTTCTTTTGGTTTTGTTTTTGGACGTGATGTTGGAGAACACCAACTAAGATGCTGTTGAAAGAATGGATTTTTCTGTTTGTTCGGAGTCCATATGGGCAATAGTAGATTTGATGACTTTCATTGCACTTTCTGTGCCCGCTGCCTGGATGAACTGAAGTGAAGGGAATGGACCGGCAGAGCGGCTATCGGGAAAGGTCGGAGAAAGGCGGTGCAACAGGGGCTCAAGGATGGAAAGGCAAGTTGAAAGGCAAGGGCAAGAGCAAGGGTGACTGGAGAAAGGGCCAAGTAGCACCTTTGAATCTTCCAACAGCGAAGTGGCCTGAACTCTGTGCTGCAGCCTCATACTGCTATGCCTTGAAGGACAGCTTGTACAGGATTGCTGTTTCTGTTTTTTTCGTGAAGGACACGTCACGTACAGAATTTGAAAGTGGCACACATACATATATATATAATATATTGTATGTTTTGCCCTGGCAGACAGCGTAGTACTACGTACTGGGTTGCACTAGCAAAGTGGACAGAACCCTGGCTTTCAGGATCCTCATTTCGAAGTCTTGTCACCTGCTTGTCACTGTCGCTGGTTCAAGCACGATCCATGTGCGCTAAAGCTGACGAACCTGAGATTTGAAGCGTTGAAGGAGATGCAGAGGTTGTCAGGAGGCGCAGTTTGAGTGGCTCAGTTTGGCTCCTAAATAAATAGACATAGGCAGACTGACACAATGTTTTGACATATTTTCGCACTTCTTTGCAATGATAACTAAGGCAACTGATCAAGGATACTTGCAGGGTTTGGAGTCACAACCACATGGAACCTGAACGCAGAAACCACTTTATTGATAGATGTCTCGTCTTGTGTTTTCAGGGTGACCTCTTGTCATAGTCTATTTCAAAGTGGAATCCCAGTGACTGTTGCGGGTCAGACTTGCTGCCATGACTTGCATAGGGTTTCGACCCACGTCCATGATGGGTTCCTTTTCTCTGGATTTCTCTCTTGGAATCTATATAATAGCGACGGCCTCCAACCTAATAGCAATGGCCTCCACCCTAGTATCCATATGTATCCATCATCCAGGCTTCGAAGTGACTGTCGGTCTCTTGGCCTCTCTGGGTGCCACGGAGCCGGGTGCCGTGCTACGCTGGGCGAAGTCACTGGAGCCGCATCAGGCGGGGGTGAACGAGTTCAGTTCCCAGATGCGACCTGTCTGAGGCCGGCAGATCTACCCCTATATACCTAGAGCCTGAGTGACCTCCATTTTGGACCACCAACCATCAAAAATATGGTCTTTTCCTATTGAAGCAGAGGTCAAATGAATAGATACATGGAGTGTCTGGCTGGGTCCGTTTCCCCGCCACCCAGTCATATTGTTTTGGGAGAGCGATGGGTTCTTCGAGAAGAATCGTCCACTCGTGGTTGGGGCACAATTTGGTCAGGTCTATGGTCTATTCACGAGATTTCACAGGACTGTAGGCCCCAAATCCCGCATGCATCCAAAACTCCAGCTCATTCGTAGTGTTCGTACTTCCTCCAAAAAGCCGGACGTGTCTTTTCTCGCTCCATCTTCGATGCAAAGCGGAGAGCGGACACATCCGATGTCTAAGGAGGTCCCCACCCGACCCCACTCGAGAGGCTTTGGGGATCTTTGAAAGGTGATTGAAATACCGAAAGTGGCCAGCAGTGTTGCCATGCTGGAAGGCGGTATTTGCGGTCTCGCTTTGATGATTTGAAAAGGGAAAAGACACAGGTCGATAGACAGACCGATACCAAAGAGGAATTCTATTATACTCTTTCTTGTGGGCGTCACTAAATTCTGCTTGTGGCATCTTGTGGCCCAATACAGTAGGAGAATGAGTTCACAGATCGAAGAAAAAGACACTGAAGGCCTCTTGACCACCACATTCTTCGGACAATTGCTCATTTTTCCGCAAAATGTCGGAAAGTGCTTCGCTGCAGGGAGAGCTTCTTGGTGCTTTGCTGGTCTTGAAGTCTGCGGAACTTCACCTGGGCGCGAGGAGCTCCGCGGAGGCCGAAGAGATGTGCCGACGCTGCGAAGCGCTGACGGCGAAGAGTTCCGAGGTGCTGGAACTCATGGGGAGCAGCTGGGACTGACAGAGAGTCCTCCAAGACAAGACCCCGATGGAGATCCCAGTTGTAGCGATTTTTGAGTCGTATTACCGGTGGTTCAACTAGGATTGTGTGTATAAATGCCTGCATAACCCTGCTGATTCAGGCCAAACATCAGTTTAAAGTGGTTGCAAGGGATTTGGACCAGCGGTTTAAGAAATAAGCTCTAACGTGATCCTCCACCAATCCCAACGATTTAACGTCCCCGGATCTTCCAGCGACGAACATACTCTGGTAGTGCAAACGGATGCAAATCAGCGCAAATGGTCAAATGACCGCAAATTAGCACAAAACGCAGGCAATAGACAGCAAACAAACACAAATCCGCAAAATAACACAAAACAAACAACACATCATATAAAACAAAGACGACCAGAATTTGTTGGTAGTTGGAAGGTCCAGATCTGTTTAAAGTTTAAGGCTTGCACTTCACTTTGTGCAGGAGTCCTTCTGTCAAAAAGCTGAAACTTGATGTGAGTATGCAACTTGAAGCTCCCCTCCAACTTCGATTTTTACATCGACAGAAAGTACACACCAACAAGCAGCGTCGCCCAAATGCCTTTGTTGGGGTCAGCTCCACGGAAGGTCCCCGCGCCACGTCAAACGACGTCGGAGGTAAATCCTCTTTGATTTTTGATCTCTTCCTTGTTGACTACAGGGATGTAAGATCATTTCACATCATTTGACATGTTTTGACATCATCTATCACTTGAATCTCGAATGCTAGAATCTGCAAGAAAAACAGGCAGTCTGTCAATCTGCCAATCTTGGCCAAATATGTTCAAGGGAACGCTTTTGTTGGCCAGAGGGTTGTCCCTCAATTAGATGGCCATGAGTTGTTTCGCATTTGGGATAGTGCAACAGTGTTGTTTGGACTGAACATCAAAACTGCCTCTTTTTGACAGTCTTCAGCGGTTAGACTAACTGGAGACACCTGCAGCCCAGACAGCAACAGACAAAGGGAACAAAGGGACAGCTGACACCAACCTGGATTGTTGGAAGGCGGGTTAGGTGATCCAACTGGGTCTTCAGTTCCGCTCGTTCCGCTCATCTTGTCCCTTAATTAAACTATCGCGAAGCCGCGAAGACTAGATCCACGACGAGATCCAGGGCGGCGAGTCGGGTCTCAGGACAAAAGCTTGAAGAGATCTTGGGGCAAACTTTTGGTGTCATCAAAGGCCTTTGGTCCTTTTTCGAGCTGTGGGAGCGGCTTCTGCCATCCAAAGTGCTTTGTCCCCTCAGTGACACGGGCGCAATCTTTTGTACTCGATTCTTCTTGGTGGACTTGGCAACTGCCGCGTGGTCCCCTTATGAGATTGACGAGTGCCAGAGCTGCAAGGATGGATGCCTTGACATACCTTGACATACTTATTTCTTTCTTTCTGTCAGAATTCAGTCGACCATAAACGCAGACTGAAAGAACTGCATGTCCCTCGCTGACGCTCTAAAGAGGTTGCAAGACGCTGGAGACGGACTTTCCAAATATGTCCAAATCAGTGTCCAAATCATATCAAATCACTTCCAAAGTCAGCTTCCTGACATGGAGTGTTTCTTCTTACTCAACTGAGGTGCTATCCCCTTTTCATCAAAAGCAACCAGGTATATATGGGGCAACTCCCGCGTGGCTTTGCCCGCGAGACCACGGACGGAATGCGTCAAGGTCATCAGCTGGAGGCCGCGTGGGTCTTGAACTCTCATTTGGAGCATTTGCAGCGAAGTCATCACGTTTTCCTGTGCTGGAACACTGGGAAGATCTGGCAAGTATGGATGTTGAAGTTTTTGCTTTGCTTTTTGGACCACAGGTGGCCCAACTTGAACAGCTTTGTTACCCCAAATGTCATTCGGATCCAAGTTCGGGCCACTGGGTCTCCAACTGTGCAGGCCCGGCTGTATGATCAGTGACCACATGTTCCAAACTTCCGACATTTCTTGGGTGCTTCTGCAAAGGAAACATCCAACTCCACCCAACTCCTTTATCCCAAGGAAGAAGAAAAGATCTTGATGTCTTTCCAGCTTCCCTGTGGCCAACATGTCATCTATGCTGCTGCGCCGGATGCGATCGACCCTAGAAAATGTACCGAGAGAATCGGTTCCGAGCCGCTGGAGAGGGAAGAAGACTTCTTAAAGGCTGGCGCCCTGGAAGTGGTCAAGTGGTATTTTTGTTTGCGTTGCTTCCCTTGTAACCCCCCAAAGTACGCCCAAACATACCACTACAGTGTATAATTAGACTATGCAATTAGACTTTATTCGAGTAGACATGTCCTTTCAGGTTTGTCTCATTACTATAGTGCTTTGGTCGTGGCGAACGCGCGGAGGCATGCAAGTCTCGTGGTCCAGGCTGTCCAGGTCTTCTGACTGGTGCGACAAAAGTAGGGGATACTCTCCCTGGAACTAACATGGAAGTGGAAAACACCCTGTTTGTAGAGGAAAATGGTCTTCCAAGAGGCCATTGGAGTGTAAGGGAATGAATGAGATTCCAAACTGGATCCAGCCACCCTGAGCCACTCGGCCCCTTTTGTCGCACAACCAAGGATACGAAGCTGGGCCACCGTTTTCCTACCCCACTGATGCCAAGAAGCAGTGCCGCATTTGGCGATCGCAGCGTGCCTCAGCTGTTGATGTCCCATTGGATGCATACGTCGAAATCAAGAAGACCACGCACTTGAATGGATTCTCAGCGGATTCTCACCTTTACGGCGTCCTGCCTTTGTTTTCCTCGAAATGGTTTGATTTGGTCGATGCTTCAAGCCTCATTCCACCTTATCAAGTGAGGATTAAATGGTAGCTACAAGCTCTTGAAGTACTGGCTACAGGCGGCTCTGGTGAAAGCTGGCGCCGTTTGCGTGGCTTTTGCAGATGACACGGGGGGACGTGTCCCACACAGAGACCTTCACAATGCATCGCATTGAAAAAGAACTTCAGGAGATGCCATTTGCACCCATTTGCTCGCTTTGTTGTGGTGATTTGTTCATGTTCACAATGGAGACTGGTCTCACAGCCCCTCTTTGGTGAGACATCGGCACATGGGGCGGTGCGCAAGGATCTCGCATTTGCATGGTGTGTCATAGGCGAGGGAAAGACCAGTTTACGAAGCCTTTCGCTATTTAGCTAAGCCAAACCTCTTGGATGAGGGCCACAGTTCTGAAATTCGCAGCTTTAAGTAGAAGAGCACCCAGTGGCCGCATGGAACCAGGAGCGCTTTCAAGACCGGGACCTGCTGAGCAAGGAGAGGGAGCCAAAATGTTGAGTTTCAAGCACCATGTTGCAATACTTAAGCATGGCATTTGCTGCAAGATAGATACCACACCCCTGGACACCTGTTCTGTTGATATGGAATTCAGCAGGAGACCACAACCCTGTTTGTAGATCATGTTTGTTTGCCAAAGGGCTGCTGTCTGGAAAGTAATTTGCTTGTCAATCCAACTTAGTCTTGAGCACCAGTGAGGAATCTCAAGACACGAATGTGAGAGATTAAGAACCGGGCTCTAAGAGACTAAGACCCTTGAAGAAAGAATGACCTACTATGACACATGGCCTTCTCAACAAGGATTCTACAAGCAACCGGCCGCATAGCTGCCCACTGTTCATCGGAAATTCATCGTTTCAGTCGAACCTTCGTCGCCTATGACGCGAAGCTCTAACCCAGCAGGTGTGGGCCTCTTTGTACAGTTCCTTGCAGCACCTCCCTGCCGCCACGTCCCATGACACGCGCCGCACGCTGCGCTTGCGGAAACGCCGGGGTTATGGAGAGCAGACGCAGGTACAGCTGGAGGAGGGGTTTGACTGTGCAATTATATAACTTATTATAACTTCATTTGTGATCATGTGTGCAGGCAACATGATTTCTATAAGACATGTTCAATCAAAAGATTCAGTCATTACACACTCATTGATCCACTTTTAATTTGTTATAGAGGTCAGTGCACCCTCCAGTGAAACATGCCCGATGTCCAGATCGAGCCTTGCCGTGCATATATCTGCACATGGGTCAAGCCACCTTGGTTTGGTAGCACAAAACCTCCAGTCTTTGGGGGGCGACCTCCGGGAGATTCAAGTTGGACGTGGACATCCATCAAACCTATCTAAATGAAAGGCGGGTGTTCCAGTCGGTTCAAGTAAAAACATATATATATAATATACACAACATGTCGTTGATCGTTGAAGCATCCAATATATGATTAACCTCTACGATGTTGTTCCAAGTGATGCCGAAAAAAGCACCCCAAAGCGCCTTTCACATCGGTCGACTACCACGGCGGAGGAGGGTTGGGGAGAGATGGCCTCTGCAATGGAAGAGGATCCCTTTGAGCAGCGGGCGGTGCAGTTGTTCACACCTGAAGTCCCCTAGTGGGACTGCATTTGTCAGCCTTTCAACTGCAAACACAAGATCGATGTGGATACACAAGCGAAGAGATGTGTGAATGTGACGTGGGTCGATGACGGGTGTTTCTTCTTTCTTCGCCGGGCCATGGGTCTTTGGACGCCCCTAAGAGGCGGTGAGATCGACGTTTGGGAGCGCCCAACGTCCACGTTTGTTGCGGACCGGCGATGGGCCGGATGCCCTGGACCGGCATACCAGTAACGCAGGAAGCCTGCATGGCAGCCTGCAGCCACGCAGCCGGCCACGCAGCCTGCGCGGAGACCACTGTGGGAAAAAGGAATTCCGTTTGTTTGGACGTGTCATTGTTATTTGCAGGGAGCACGAACAGAACAGTACACCTGGGGTATACACCTGGGTTATAGGAGCTATACTGCCTTTACTGGTTTCTGGGTGTCGATGATGTGATGCAAAAACATTTGACTTAGTCTGACTGAGTCATAATCCATGCAATGATAGAACAACAAGATTGGATGACAGATGATCCCTCATTGGGGTTCGCGGATAGGACGGGTGAACTCGCCCTATTCTAAACCTCTGGTGCTGAAAGAGAGGTGGACATGTGGACGAAGGATGCATTTTTTGGACTCCAGATCTCTTTTCAAGTGCAGAACAGGACACAATGTGTTATTCTCGATGAAACAAAGTGCTTTGAAAGAAGTCTTGATGCCACTCCGTCGCTGTTCACAGCAGCCTGTCGAACCGGAGGACCAGTCCCGGGCGCCGTCCGCGTCCGGCGTCCCGAGTCCGGTCCGGCCCAGGCACGAGGACCTCGAGGAGATCCCGGCGACCCAGTTGGACTTCACCCAGGCGGCCGACGTCGGCAGGACGTCGGCTCCAGCCCAGCCGGGGCCGTCGGCTCCTGGACGTCGGATCTTTTTGGGAAATGCCCTGAAGATCGGACAGGTCGGAAAAAACCAAGGGCAGTAGCGTGTGAGAGGGAGGGTTTTGATGGGTTTTGCATGATGGGTGGCATGGAGGGGGTTGGTTTTGATCAGGGTTGGACTCAGGGGGGTGGGGTCAAAACAATGTACCATGCCTCAGTGAAATGAATCCAGGTGAGTACTGAGATCTACTGAGGTACCTCCCACTACTCTCAATCTTGGAAGGGTACATTCAAAACGTGCTTCTGTTTGTTTTTTCAATTGTAGCTCTGGCATGGCAACGAAGACAGGTGGTATTGGCAGCATGGAAATTGCCCCAACTTGCTATCACTCGCTACTCGCTACTCGCTTCTTATGGTTCAATCTTGGTACTGAGGCTAAGGCTCAAGGTAAGACATGCATATATATATATATAATATATATATATTAATAAATAACTTTGATTTGTTGGTTCAGACATTTCCAATGATCCCTGCTTGTCAGTGGCAGTGTAAGGTAGGATCCCTGATCCCTACACAAAGAGTCAACATCTTGTTTTTGGACATGCAGCCACCCTGCAGCACCCTACGACGTGTCCAAAAGCAAACACGGTGACTTTCTTGATCCTACACAGTCATAAAGACGGGTGAATTTTCTACAGAAACAGAGAATGGATAGGCTCCCAACCACATGACTGTTGGATGGAGAGACTCTGTGGTGAACCTGGTCATGGCACCTAAGTTTGACTCCCCCCCAAAGGGCCAAATGTTGGACTTCTCATAGATATGTCAATATGTCAACCTTTTGATGGGCCATGGGCCGCTCCATTTTTTCATTGTTGGCATGGACCCATGCCGCATGCCCCGAAAAGACTCAGCGGCCAAACCCCCCCAAAAGGACTGGACTCGACTCGGTCAAACGATCCGGTGCGAGAGTGTCTGGAGGGTCTGAGAACCCTCTGAGAACAGCTCGGTTCATCAGGGATTTACGTACTACACTCCTTGAAATCCTAGAAAACCGACCTGTTTGTAGAGGAAAATGGTCATCCAAGCAGTGTAAACCCGAAGAACGGTTGAACCCTAATAGATTCAATAGCAGATCTCAGGAGAGGCGCTCGGGGCGTGGTGGGGGTGTTTTCGCAAGTGCCGTGCAGGCGCTCCCAGTGGAGCCCGTTGAGGTGCCCCACTCGGAAGGAGGAAAGGAAGCCCTGGAGCATGTGGAGCTGGAGAAGCGAAAGCGGCTTGGTCCTGTAGCATTCTGGGCGGAGGTGTGGGAGTTTCCTGCCCAGAAAGCATTGGCAGAAGGGGTTGGAATAGGTGGGTTTAAGTTCTTGAAGACTCTCAAACGTGTGAAGGTTTCAGTTGTCAACTTGTTTCTTGCAACCAGTTCTTGAAACAGGTCGTCATTATCTATTTATGCGATTCTATTCGTGGGTCAATAGTCAAGTCATGTCAAGTCCTATCATCAAAAAAACAACCCAAAGACTGAGGACCCTCCATCTAAAGAGAGAGCATCGAATTCGGACATATTCCCCCGTGTCAGTTCCATGTCCACACCTCAAGATGTCCGCCTCTCGCCGCCGAGGTCAGCCTGGTCGCCCTTGAAACCGGCCTCTCGGCGGCCTCTAGGTGGCCCTGAGGTTGGCGGTCGACCCCCAAAAGATTGATCTATAGCTTTTCCAGAGGTTCAGGCACCCCACATCCACTGGAGGGGGCCACTCTGCCCCCCTCCACTCTCCTCTTAGGGAGACACTGATCTTTTGAAACACCGGTTCCTGCTGCTTCGTAACAGTGGAGACCCCGGGTCTCGATGGTAACGGTGGACAATTCTTGGAACCGGAAGAGGATTCGGCATCATCCGAGTCAGTTGATCTACGCAGGCAGTTGGGCCAGACATGGAAGGCTTTTGGGGCTCGGAAACAGAAGGTGTCCTTTCAAGTCAACCTCATCAGCTGTTAAAAACGCCGGACATCCTCTGACTGCTACAGAATTCACCCTGAGGCCAAACTCTTGGAACAGATGGAAGTGGCAGAAGGCTGGACATTGTGAAGTTTTTTCAGATTTCTTCCGCCACTTTGGACATTCCGCGGAAGATGCACACGCCTATAATGAGGGCGAGGAAACCCCGCGAGAACGACCTGGCAACACCCAACTGGCAGTCTCCACCTGAAAAGAGAACCGCGGCAGTGTTGGTGACCGGGGTGTTGACCTTTTCCCTCATCGCGGTGGTTTCATTCGAATCCTCCAACCAGGCCAGGAGCTGCGCGAGCAAGGTGGGATGGCGTTATGCGATGGCGGCCATTTATTGCGTGGCGTCTGGGTTTGGGTCTGGGTGTTCTTTGTTTTTTCCACCTGAATGATAGCCCCCCCCTTTTGACTTGCAAAACCTTTTCATATGGGGTGGTTTATTAATTGAGTTAGGAGTTAAGAGTTAAGAGTCTACATGATTCGAGTATACCAGCACCTTCCTGTCGGGGTCACTTGACTGGAAGCCCCTACACAAAGTATGGATCTCCATTGTAATACCCCGACAGGATGGTCTGTGGATGTGCTTTAGGGACCTTTACGAGAAGCCTAAAGACTGCGAGGCTGATCTATCTGGTTGCAAAAGCCAGTGCCTTCAATGTTTACCTTATCTACAGTTGGGCGGGTCGGCCAAAGGAAAGAGCAAACAAGGACATTCAATGACCTCATTGGGGACCCCCCCCAACCTCTAGGTTTAAGTGCAAGGGTGTTTGGGGGGGGTGGGCCCTATTTCATTATAGCCCCAAACAAAAACATTATAGGACATATACGCCAGCATAGACCCCAGAGAGCAAAAAGATCTTTCCGGCAGCACCAGCAGCAACGGCGCCAGCGGGGAGCGCACAGCAGCAGCAGCACCCTGCGCAAAAGCTCCCAAGCGCACACAGCAGCGGGACCCTGCAGCGGCAATAGCACCCAAGCTCGCAAACGCACACACGCAGCTCTTCCTCTACTTGAAGTAAGAACCACAATAGCTCACGCTTTCTTGAAAAACAATACAAAAAGTGCTCCAGAATACTTAGTTTAAACAAAAAAGTAGAAACTTAATGTCAACAAAAATCAATAAAATCAACAACTTTAGTATTGGATTTGCTGGGATTTCAGTAGAAGGAAGGGGTCAAAGGTTGAATCATGCGAATGGAAGTGCAGCGACACGTACAGTGCAACTTGTACATATATATGTACCATATGTACTTTGGCTCAAGGATCAAGCGACTAGAAAAGGTGCGGTTTCCGTTCCGACGCTACGCCGCTTATGGATCGTCAGTGATAGCTTCAAACTTCGCTGATTAAGATCCACACGCAGGTTATCAGCCGTACGCGCTCTTTATAGCCGTACGAGCTACACGAGACCAAGAACAAGACTAGTCATTACAGAAACCTGCAATGTCAAGCTCAGGAGGAAATGGAAGCGAACCCTATTCATTCGCTGCTCCTGGTGGTTCCAACACCATTTCGTCACCAGACTCTACAATGGGTACTGATTCATCAGCAAATGCTGACGTTATCACTATGCCTACTGGATCACAAATCTCGGAAAGATCCGTGCCACCGGCTCGGAATCTGACCGATCTTGCACCCGTAGGACCAAGAAGATCGATGAGAGCTACAACACGATCTACATCGCCTATAACGTCTACCGCGAGATCCCCAAGAAGGAGTATAGAGAAGAGACGTGACGATGATAGAGGAACAAAAGAGCAAAGAAGAGAGATTCAGCTGGGTGAAGAATTGAGATCGGCGAGAAACGCATACAATTTTCTTCATGAAGAATATGAATGCATCCAAGCCGGATACTCACGACTACACCACGAGGCTGAAGTGGAGTTCAGGCAAATGTCTGACTACAACAGGAAGATGCAGGAACATCTACAAGAGATGACACAGGAAGATGAAGGAGCGACAATAAGAATTGAAGAGCTCGAACACAAGCTACGCTTGGCGGAATCGACAGCTGAACATATCTACATGAGATATCAAGAGCTTGCACAAGAAACTCATCAAGAACATTCAGAGCTTGAATCTGTGAAAGCAACGAAGGACAGAATGTCCCAAGAGCTTCAAGCAGCAATTGGACACATCCAAGAACAGAATGAATCTTCATTGGCGATCAATAGAAGATCAAAAGCCATTCAGGATGAGAACACAGCCTTCGTCGGAATAGCTGACCAGATACAAGCTAGAATGATTGCGCTACAGGATGAGAATGTCAACATGCACGAGGTGATCCAACACCAGAGAGAAGAACAATGGAACAGTGAGGTCAGGGAAAGACGTCTTCAACACAGTGTTCACTCATCTCAAGATCGGAGCAATCAGGAAGCTATGGTTATTGATCATCTACGAGGTCAACTAGCTATGGCACGTGGAGCTGAACTCAACGCGAGAGCG